TCTAGCTAGAGGACAAACAGTACAGGGAATTTGATCAGTACTTTTAAAGTCTTGAGACATTCATCCCTCTTTATTACATCAATAGGTGCATGACCAAGTCTTTTGTGCCATATACTACTGGACTCAGACTGAGTAACAGAATTGACCGACTTAGGTAACTGAATATGTTTACTACTATTGACCATCTTATCTGGAGCTTGACTTGGGCCCTCTTGTAGTATGTATAAGCCATGTTTCTCCTTACCAATCCCCTTCACTAGACCAGTGGAGAGGTCCTGGAAAAGACAAAAGTCAGGGAAAAAACAAACCATACACTGTAACTTTCTTGTGATCTTTGATACTGACAACAAGTTAAACTTGAAGTCAGGGAGAAATAACACATTGGATATAGACTGATTAGCTAACACACAAGTGCTCCCAATGTGAGAAACTGTTGCAACTTTACCATTAGGTAAATGTACCTTACTGTCTCTTTGAGCATGAACTTCCCTAGCTTTATCTAGGAGTCCAAGGTCAGATGTGATATGATGAGAGGCTCCATTATCTATTATCCACTGTTTATTGGCATAATTACATGATAAAGTAATAGGAGCCAAACCTGCATCATCAGTAGTGGCAATGTTTGCAGAAGGCTGAACTGTTGTTTTCTCATCACCAGGTCTGGAAAGCAGTTGGAGAATCTGTTGATATTGAGCAGAAGTGAAAAACGCTCCAATGTGTGGACCTGCTCCTAAAGTATTTTTTCCTTTGTTGTTGCATCCTATGGTCTCTTGTCCAAGATTAAGAGGAATATCCACCTGATTAGCATACATTCCAGTGTTCAGAGGTTTTCTCTTGGACTTGAAATCTGTAGGATATCCAACTATTTTGTAGCACTGCTCCCTAGAATGTCCCTTGCACCCACAGTGTTCACATTGTAGAAAATTATTTCTAGTCTTGTAGCTTTCTCCTGAAGAACTAGTACTGTTGCTGTATCCTCCACCATGATCACCAGCTCCTAAGAATAAGCTGGTGGAGTGTACTTTTGATGATCCTGCTCCATTGTTATAAGTGTGATTTCTCTGAGTGTACATTGATGTGCTTTCTATAACTCCTGACCCACTCGAACTATTGCTTGCCAGACTTCTCTGACTCTCTTGATCAATCAGCATTGCATAGGCTTTGTTTAGTGAAGGAATTGGACTCGTCATTAAGATCTAACTTCTAGGAGGGGAATATGACTCATTTAGCCCCATTAGAAACTGCAGAAGCCTTTGATAGTCACAGTGTTCACCAAATTTTTTGGACTCTGGACATGGACAACTTGGACATGGCATGATAGCATCATACTGATCCCAGAGGTCTCTTAGTTTTGAATGATAGTCAGCAATTGGCATTGTACCTTGAGTGAGAGAGTGAATCTCCCTATGTAACTGAAATATTCTGGATCCATTCACAGTGTCAAACCTTTCTCTTAGATCTAGCCAGACCTTTCTAGCATCAGACGCATACACTACAGAACTAAGAAGACCAGGTCTTACTGCATTCATGATCCAGCTTAAAACTACTGCATTACACTTTTCCCACTGATCATGTAGCTCAGGCTCAAACATAGACTTAGGGAATCTTCCATCTACAAATCCTAGTTTACTTCGACCTACTAGACCAATTCGAAATGACCTACCCCACAAGGCATAGTTCTCTGATCTTGTTAATTGCAGAGAGATTAGAGAACTACCTAGAGTTTCTGTATGTTGAAGAAACAGAGGATGATTGTGATCAATGACAGGAAATGTGGTTGTGCTGGTTGTGCGAGAACCACTTCCAGTTCTAGTGGCTTGAATCTCAGCTCCTTCCATTGTACCTCCAGTCATGAGATCCTAAAGTTTTCTTCTGATTCACCTATTTTTTGGGAAGGTGATATCGAAGTACCTAGGTATTATCTATGATCGTGGGCTCTGATACCATGAAAGCTTCATAGCTCAAGCTTAAACACCATAGCTAGAAGAGAGAGTTGTATTGATTGTATAATTGACTTGATACAATGTATCTGTACATAGGGTATATTTATACTACACATAAATGCAGTAACTAACTCATGCTAACATGGCATCTTTCTAACTAACTTTTTACTAATTGGTTAACTAACTCAACCATATAGCTTGCTTAACTATTTACACTAGTTAACATAAATTACAATAAAAATAGCTACAACCTACATCTATTATGGTCGTATGTAGGACGACTTCCATAACACAATGCTTAAATCTCTCGCACAATGTTTAAATTCATTATTTTGCATTACAAAATAAGCAGTGAATTGCAAACATTCCAAAAATTACTAAATTCAAATATTTGAGTAACACATAATTATCAGCGATTAAAAATACATAACTCATGCATTTTCGAAAAAAACTCATGATAAAATTCAGATGATTAAATTTTGTGATGTACATAAAATGTATACTTTAAGTGCAAAAGTTAATATATGAGAGAAAAATATAATGCGTACCTTTTGGTTGATTGAAGGTGGAGACACGATGGAAGTCACTCGTCCTGAGATGATAACATCCATTTGAATTTCTTCAAATCATTATGAAAAAAATTTCGTGATTTGTTAAAAACGTTTCACTTGTAAGTTTAAATGAAACTAACACATGTTATCAGATGTAGTTTGATGAAGTTTGTGATTCCTAGAAAATGAATGATTGATTTTATTTGTGCTAATTTTCCCTTTATTTATTATAAATAAAAAACTGATATAACAAAAGATGAGATAAATTCTGATAGCATTACGGTTTTTAGATTTTCAAATTTGAAAGGACAGTTTTTTTGTTTTTTGATTTTTTCTATTTTATATAACTAGTATACGTACCCGCGCGTTGCGCGGATATTATAAAATGTTAAAGTTATAATTTAAATATTTTTTAAAAATTGTAATTAAATATGTGAGATGAGGAACATGTATTATTTAAAATAAAAATAAATAATTTTTTTTGTTTTTTGGAAACATATGAAAAATATATAAAACTTTGATTGAATATTTTAAATTTATTATGCGTCAAGTTAATAAGGATAGTCGAATGAAAGCAAGCCATGATATAGTAAAAGTTCTGTAAGAGGTTTATAAATTTTAATAATGCACAACTTAAATATATTTAAAAAATTATACTATTTTTGATTTACTATAAATATGTACAATAAATTTTGAAGAAAGGAATAACACGTATTAAATAAAAATTAATATAAATTATAATAATTACTAAAACTTAATATATTTAAAAATGTGATATAAATTACATTTATTATACTCTCAACAATTAAATTAAGTTGAAATGGAATGAGTAATAAATAATTTATTAATTTAATAATGTATTAAAGTAAGATGTGACAACGAAACGATTTTTTAGGAATATTGATGCGTATGCCTGCAGTATATATTTATTGCAAGTCATTAATGTGTGTGCTTGTATGTATATGTATTTATTAGTTTTATTAAAATATAGTCAATCTAAGTGAATTGGAAAAAAGTAAAATCAAATAGACTTTTGGACAACCCATCAAAATCCAAAAGTAATTGGAAAGTAAAAAGGGAAAAACGTAAAAAACTAACAAAATGGATCTCTCTGGAAGGAGACCAAAATATGAACAAAATTTTCCAGATTTAGAGGGTGAGGTACCTCTTCCGAGTGTGGATCTTCGCTAAGTTTCTGAGTGATTTGTCAATGTTGTGAGTGCTATTTCTTTCATCTCTTTAGTAAATCTTCTATTGTCTTTTCTACTATGAATGTCTTCTGCAAAAATATGGTAAAGTTTATTTTACAATTTCAACATTTGAACATGCAAATGATAACATAGCATAAAAATGACTTTCTTCAAGCAGGTTAAGATTAATATATATATGGCATAAAAGATTTGATAGGAGTTGTTTTCAAATCAAGCATCGTTTCGACAAAAATTCAATGTACTGTGAAATGGTGAGTTAAATTTTTGACATTTTTTTTATATTGATCCTTCATAATGAGAACTTCAATTGAAAAATATATTAGCATGAAGTAGTTCTTGTTTTGGATTAATTTTAATGAGATTTATCAGGTTATGTCTCCTTCATATCTATTTGGGATGGTCAGATACGGCTAATAGTTTAACTTTAATTTAAATTATAAAGTAGTAAATGCATGTTATTGCAAAGCTATAATAAGCTTATGTTGATAAAGATTTTGGTATCTTGTTTGGTGATTCAGAGATTTTGTATATATAATCTGAGTTACAGTTTTCCTAGCAAGCCGGAGTAAATTGTACTTGAAATTTTTTAATGTGAATTGTCAAGACACAGTTTGTTATATATTATAAGAAAAAGTTATCATTTTCTTGGTCTCCAAATCATAATTTGTTAAAATGACCTTAAAATATAGGAACTTGTCACTTTTACTTTTTAGAGAAATGAGTACAGTTAAAAAAGTAGTAAAGATTGTAAATGTGTGAAGTCTTATAATCTATCTGTACTTTAAATATGGATAAAACTATCTGATAACTATGAAGTTGTATTTATTATTAATGTTTAATAGTAGTATTAATATATAGATTTGTGTAGTTTATGGTAATTTATATATATACAACTATTTTGAGCAATGTTCATAGTACAATTTCTGTCTTAATGCATTCTAACTGAAAAAAATTTCCTAATATATTTTCATATTTGCTTTTTAATAAGTGTATTGTAGATGGCGGAGAAGTTGATTATGGGAAGAATTTTTTTCTGCTAGTGTATCGATGGGAAATAGCAATGATTATAATTAGCTAATAAAGGTTGGTACATATCGACTATTGCATATTTCAAAGTAATTTGGACTTTCTTTGTCTTTTTTTTATTAATGTGTACCTACTTAATGTTAACTTACTAAGTTAAATTACATAATTAATGAAACCTAAAACATATATAACAGTTAATATAAAAGTTAGTGTAACATACACAACAAAAATTGTAGTATATATATAAAAGTTAAAAAATACAATGTATGTCAAATAAGATTTTGTAATACTTCTTTATATACTACATTTGTGGCTTCATTACTTATTTTCCCATCTTCATCGTAAGTAAGTATTTTTAATCCCTTTCTATTTGTCACTCTGGAAAGAGCAACATATAAATGCCCATGCGTAAACACTGGCTTCTTCAGAAATAAGCCCACATGAGATAAAGACTGTCCTTGACTCTTATTGATTGTCATAGAAAATGATAAAGTTATAGGAAACTGTCTTCTTTGAAACTTAAAAGGAATTCTAGAATCTGAAGGTGTTAAAGTCATTCTTGGAATAAACACCTTCTGGCCAACCATCTGTCCAGATAAAACCTTTGCTTCAATTACTTGATTTCCAAGTTTAGTAACAATCAATCTAGTTCCATTACATAATCCTGCTGACTGATCGATATTTCTTAGTAACATCACTGGAACCCCAACCTTTAAAGTGATTGAATGATTTGGAACGCCAGAACATTTAATATTGTTCAAATATTCAGGGGTATGTACATGTTCCAAAGCTGAATAAGTATGATCAGACCTGCAAATTTTATCAGAACTTAAATATGATTTCTTAGGATTATGATTAAGAGTAATCATATACTGATATATCGATTCAACCATATCAAGAGTTGGAGCAAGAATGGATCTTTGTTGAAGGTACTTTGGATCATTGCAATTAGTGATGAAATCTGGATAAATACTTTCAACAATAGATGCTATAGGATCAGTATACTCATTTATTAGAAGATCATAACTTCCAATGCTACCATCCCCAACTTTCAATATCCAATTAGAAAAATCTCTCAATTCTTCCAAATGTGTATCGTTTGCATTGCTTTGTAACCTCATATTCTTTGTTAGAGTCAATATTTTATATTGTGGCCATAAATATGATGAATTTACAGTTGCATTAACAATATCTTGTCTGGTACCTTTTGGAATAACGGGTAAAATTTGTCTAAAGTCACCTCCAAGAACAACTGTTTTTCCTCCAAATGGTAATTCTGCCTTAGATGCATCCTTATAGCTAATTATATCTCTTAAAGTTCTATCCAAAGCTTCAAAACAATATTTATGCATCATAGGAGCCTCATCCCAAATAATCAACTTTGCCTTGACTATCAAATTTGCTAAAGGAGTACCTTGCTTTATATTACATGTTGAATCTTCATTTATATTCAAAGGGATAACAAATCTTGAATGTGATGTTCTACCACCAGGCAACAATAGAGATGCAATCCCGCTAGAAGCTACTGTCAAAACAATATCTCTTTTAGATCGTATAGCTGCTGATAGTGTCCTCCAAATAAAAGTTTTTTCTGTACCTCCAAAGCCATATAAAAAGAAAAATCCACCACTATTTGTAATAACTGCTGACATAATCTTTCTGTAAACTGTTTTATGTTCATCAGTTAAATTTTGTAGCAATTCTTGATGTTCATCAGTTAAAGCACCTTTATTGTAACGCATTTCATCTCGAATTAATATGTTGCTATAATCGACCTCATCCTCATTATAGACAGGTAATGGCATTGTTGAAAAATCTTGAAAACTGCTTCCACACCCTTTTAAAAAGGTTTCAATCTTTTGCAAGCAACGATTCTTCAAATCTGCTTCTGATAGATAAACTTCTGAAAAAACATATAAACATATACTAATTTAATAAAATAATCTAATTCTAATTTACTAATTATTAAAAATTATTAAAATTATAATAATAATAAAATAATAAGAAAAAGAAAAAAAATATTATATATGATTAGTGTCAAGTGTAAACATTATTAAATACATGGGTTATCTAATATTCTTCTTTCTTCAAAAACAATATCTTCTGATAGTAAGTGCCAAGTTGATTGCCACACTATCTCCGGACGTGACATTGAATTAGATATAAGTAGCATAGCAAATAATTGTCGTAGATATGATGGCATTCCCCATTGACTTGCTTCTACTATAGCATCAACATATTCTTTGTCATCATCTAATAATCCTAGAGCATAACATGCATCTCTAAAGGTCTCATGATCAATATCATTTATTCTTCTGATCTCCTCATAAGAAGTTGGACCTTTAACAACATTCAATAGCAATCTAAGGTAATATTGCTCACCTGATCCTGGTGGAACAAAGAAAATTCCTCCAATAGAAAATGCTGAAGTTTTCCTTTTTTCCCATCTCTTAGATTGCTGCTTCCAAACAAACTTTAAAGGAAATTCTGCATACGTTAGATGTCTTGCTTCAGGAAATTCCTTATTAGCTTCCAACCATCTTAAAAACATTGATTCCTTCACTGTTGGTTTATTGATAACAACATCAATTGGATCATCATCTGAAAATATGACATTTTGATTGTCTGGTAGATGAAAAGATAACCTTTCTACAGAAGGTTCTCTATGGTGGATTGGGAATTTGAAAGTTCTCCAAGCTGCTTCACAGGATGCTATATAGCGACAATCACAATACATTTTTATTTCATCAACAACCTTTGAATCTGAAGAATTAACACTATCGCAAAAAGCTAGTGTGACTCGATCATGACCTTTATTAACATACTGATACGCTCAAATTACACCTCCTTAAAGAAGCATAAGCAATCGTTATCAAGTAAAGAACCCAACTTGTAGGTTGAGGTCGATCCCACGAGGAAAATGGTTTAGACTTTACTTTAACCAACAATTATATTCAATTAGTCAAATTACTTCCAGAAACAAGTAATTAAAGGGGGGATTTTGTGAAACAAATTGTAAGAATTTAGTAAATAATCAGTAAATAGAAATCAATTTTGGTTGTTATCAAGATGAGAAAATTAACTAGGGTATAATGTTCTCCACAAGCTCATAACGCAGTAATCCTAGTAATAACAATCCTTTCCTAGTATATCACATGCAAAGTGGTAAGTTATGTATTTCTAAATCCTTGGTCCGGCATCTAGAGAATTTCACCCCCGCACCTTAGTCCGGCTACGTGTGTTTAATTTACTAACCCTTACCTATACCTCATATTAGCCATCATAATCGATGTTTGTCTTAGTTATTACTTCGCACCAATCGACACTAGACTATTAGATAGTATCTCAATAAATCTATGCTGATAATTCTTTTCTTGTTAATTACCTCCTTGGTCCGGCAAGTAGTAACAAGGCGAGTTCTAACGTTGGCCACCGTTAAAAAGACTTCTAAACGAAAGAGTTATCAATGCATGCAAAATTACTAGTCAAGAATTGCTTTCTTACTATTCATACTTTGTTAATCGCTCATGATTCCGACAACCCTAGGTATGGATTTAGTTACCCATATTAGCAAGAACACAATTCATAGTTTTAGATGAAGAAATCATGAACTTACGTAAAGAGATAATAAACCCAGAAATTCAACTTGAATTGCAAAGCCAAAATCTTCAACACAAACTTAGGAAATCAATAATTGCTAGGGTTGCAAATTAATCTCCCAAAGTCACCAAGTAAAACTAGAATAATAATGTCTAACCCCTAAAAACGAGGTTTACATGCCCTATTTATAGAAAACAAATTCTAAATTAAAGGGAAACACATTAAGGAAAGTTTGTCAGGCATGCATCTTCATTCCACGAGACTGACTTACAGACCGTCAATGGATCTACGGTCCGTAAAGTCCCTTCCGTCAACCAGGACTTAGAAAATATTTCAGCTTCCAAAAATCATCTTTTCTGAAGTAAACGACGGACTTGCAGTACAGACCGTAGATCAATCTACGGTCCGTCAATCCCCTCCGTAGCTCCACACTTGGACTCTTTAAAATTCAGGTACTGGAACCCTCGCAGTATCAATCTACGGATCAACAGTACGGTTCGTAGATCAATCTACGGACCGTAAATGACCACCGTGGTTCCACACTTGGTCAGATTTCCTTGATTTGTCTTCCATACCTTGCCTACGGATCTACGGTCATCACCTACGGACCGTGAATGGACCTACGGTCCGTAGATCACCTCCGTGAATGCCCTTCTTCTACATTTCTTTTAGCTTCTCTATACTTCCGCGCCTGAACATCTTCCCTGCAAAATATGATAAAAACACATAAAAACCAATACAAAAAGGCCCTAGACACACACAACTTGTAAGTGAAACGTATTAGAAATACCGTAAACTCACGATATATCAG